TAAAACAACCATAGCACTGCTGAGATCTGCTTTTCTAGATCCTCTGTGAGAGATAAACTGGCAAAAAGGGGGGTGGTAAAGTAGAGTTGAGTTTGGGGCAGTACAGAATAGCAGAGAGGGATTAAGTGTTATCCTTTCTGGAGAAGTGAGACTCATATTCAGAGAGAGGGAACTCCTGCCAAATCAGATTGCAATGAAAGAAGGCATCAGGACTGTTTAATACACAGCTTAAAGCAGGTCAGCCAGTAGGTCAGAAGCCTGGACTTAATGAGTCAATAAAAGGCTCCACTTAATTAAATGTGAGACTTGTCCCCTGAACTGGTTAAAGCTGAATTCTCTTCACGTGAAACTCCTGCATGGACTTCCTCATCCATGTGATTTGTTCTTTACAATATCTCCCAGCTTTGGGAAAAGAAGCACTATTGTGCTCATTGCACCAGTCCCGATGATTGACTCAAGGAGGTAAACAGAGGTGGAAGATGTGAGACCCCAAAATTTCTAAGCAAATGAGTGTTCTCAAGACTTTGCTTCCTTGATGGAGCCAGTATGTGAGGCTTTTTAAAGAGAGGGAGAGATGCTGCTTGGAGTAGATATTCTCCTGGGGACCTCTTCCTCCTAAGCTGCTCCCCTTTCTCCAGCGTCTCTACTAAAATCAAACAATGCCCCCAGAGCCTGGAGGTGGGAGCCCCGAACCACTCATTCCCTCCCTGCCTCCACTTCCCTCACCCCAGCTGCTGCAATTGAACTACACCTGATGGTACCTCAGTATGAGTCCCCAGCCCCCGGAACTCCACAGATGGGGGCAGCAGCAAAGCTATCCTGCCTTCTCCCACCAAACTTCATAGCAGGAAGGGCAGGGGGAGAACTCTCGGGGAAATCAGAGCTAGAAGAAGAGATCAATTTCTAGAGATATTGCAGTCCTTTGGATGCACATCCTGGGGATATGTTCCCCACCCAGGGCACATCAGGCACACAGTGTAGTGAGGATACTGCCCTGGAAGTTAGGGACCTGAGGTTGGTTTCTGTTTCTGCTGCCAAGGTGCTGTCTGACCTTGGGACGGCAAAAGTTCTTTCCATTGCTTATATCCTACCATCCCTTGAGTTCAAAGTCACTGTCTATATACTATATTTTACATATTGAAGTCTTTTGCTTGGTATTGAAGGTACTTCTATTTGGGCCTACAGTTTTCTTTTCTGTGCCATCCCTCACCTCCTCCCAGTCTCATGGAAGAACTTGTTATTTTCTAAGTACACAGTGCTCTACCATGAGTGTCTACTTCTCTTTCTAGACTTCTATTTTTTTTTATCTGAATTGCCCTTCTCCTATGACTAATAAAAAAACACCTATTTATCTTTAAAAGTGGTCCCCAAGGTAATCTTTGCTCTGAAACCATCCCTGATTTCCCCCACTTCACCCCTTTTCTCCCATTGCTTTCTGATAACCCAGTCCTCACTTGTACCAAGCTCTTATCAAGGTTTGGTTTGTATTACAGCTGCAAGGGCTGCTTCTCCAGAGAGAATTCTCAGCACTTGGATCTGAAACAAAGTCCTTGAATTACTGCTGAGCTCTTCTCAGGAGAAGACAAGGCCTGTGACTCTGGTGGAGACTGCAGAATCCAGGCTCCCAGTTCCCTCAGGTGTCCTGCTTTCCTCTCTTATCAGTTTCTTTCTTTCTTTCTTTCTTTCTTTCTTTCTTTCTTTCTTTCCTCACCTGAAAATATGTGTTTATTAAATTTTTTAGAGAGGAAGAGAGAGAAAGAGAGAGAGAAACATCAATGTGAGAGAGAAACATCAATTAGCCACTTCCCCCATCTCTCCCTTCCCCACACATACTCCAACAATGTATTGAACCCACAACTTCAGTATGTACCCTGACCTGGCATGGAACTCACAACCTTTTGGTGCCCAGGATGATGCTCCAATCGACCGAACCATCAGGCCATGGCATCAGCTATTTTTTTCACTCAGAAATCCTGGTTGATAATTAATACCACTGTGATAAGCTATCACAAGAGCTGGTACAAGTGGGTTACATTAAATAAGGAATGGAGGCACTGGTGCTCACCCTACAAAGTCAGGGCAGGGAGAGTCTCCTAAAATGGGTGGAACCAAGAGAACCATGAACTTCCTAGGTTGAAAGGAAATTTGGTCTTCTCCCAAGTCTCTGTCTTCCCTCAGACACCTTGAGCAATATCTGACCTCCATTAGGAAGACCCAAGGCTGGCACTCAGAGTGGGAAAGGACATAGGGAAGATGCACTCTGTCCTTGGGGCTGAGGAAAACTGATGGTGTCGGGAGGGATAGAGTGAGAGGGAGGACACTCATGTCCTTCTCTGTGTGCTCTAGAGACCAGGCTATTGACTGCACCTGGTGGGCTCACACACAAGTCAGAGCCGCCCTCTGGAAAGTGCAACCTGTACCTGTTAGGCTCAGATGTTGGAACCCTTTCTTCCTAGTTCACACTGTTGGATGGATGGAAGTGAAATGGGCTTGGAAAGTGAAATGAGAAGTCTTGTAAAATGGGAGTCATCTATAGGAATGATAACCTGCACAGCCTCGAAAACATTTTACACTTTTGTCCTTGGCTCTAGGAGGATTTCAGAGATTAATTTCCAGGCACCTATGGAAGGGACAAATATGTACTTCCCTTCACTTTCCCACCTGCACCCAAACAGGAACCTAAATGGGTAGGAAAATTTTTCCTCCCAACACCATTCAAGATGATAAGAGTACTATCTAAGGACTAAGAGACAAACAAAACATGGGTGGAGGGTGAGGTGGTGGGTGAACTACAGAAACATGAAACTAAAAGCTTATGCTATGCCACGGCTTCCTTAGCCCCACTGCTACTTACAATGAAATACATCTTAGGTCTGATCAAATAATTGAATCAATACCCTTCTGCTGGGAACTGACCTTTAGGCCACTTCACAATGGACATTTCTTTTGGCTTAGACCACATTCCACTTGCTAAGACCACATTTCACTTGCTGAGACCATTATCTGACCCCTCTGAACCTTTCTAGGATCAGGACTAGCCCAGAGAACTCTCCACCCGAAAAAAGCCTGCCTAGAGTCCTTAAAACCTCTAACTCCCTGTCCCTGGGTGCTGGCACCATGTTGGGGTTCAGCCCATTTGGTATCCATATGACTTAATAAATTTATAATCCCTTACCACTTTGGATTGGTGCTGAAAGCTGGGAGGATTCCAGGGGGAAGAGAGCCATAATATTGGCTTTGGTCACCCTAAGTTTGCTACTCAGAGAGTGGTAGACAGTGTCAGCTTGTCTTGTGTTTACCTCCTAATTCTACTCTGGTAACTGGATTGCTGGCCTCAATTAGGCCCCTGTCCCTTACGGACCCTCCTGAACCAGCCAAGGAGGATTCAGGATTGGGAATCTTTCTCCATTGTTGACCCTTCATCCCACACAGGCCAATATTTTCTAGGTGAGTGACATTCCATAATTCCCCTAATTTTGTGACCTCTGCCTACTCACTCTCACTGACTTTTGAAAGTCTCTCATCTGAAAAATCCTAGTGCTAGGCCTGAAGACTCCTCAGCCGTTTGGCTTTGGATCCTTCTTGATTGGGTCCAGTCTGGAGGGTCATCCTTCATTTCTCCTGGTGATTTGTTTAGCAGTGGGGACACCTGCCCTAAACAGTCACCTTTGGATTTGTGGTCTGTCATTCACCCTTCCTCTCTCATGGACCACGCTACACTCCCTCTGCATACTCACAAGGGAGATCATGCCCAAGCAACTCATTTTCTTTTGTAATACTGTTTGGCCATGATATAAACTAGATGATAAATTTCAATGGCCTAAAAATGGAACTTCCAATTTTAACACATTGCACAATTTAGATAATTGCTGTAATCGGAAAATGGTCAGACATTCCCTATATCCAGGCCTTTTTCACCCTCTAGTCCCAAACCTTTCTCTGTCACTCTTCTACCCATCAGATCCTATTCCTTCACACAAAACATCATACCCTCAACACTTCTGATTCTGAATCTACTTTTGACCCAGAAACCACTGACCTCCACCCCTTATGTGTTCCCATTCCATCTTCTGCAGTAGATTACAAAAACCTAGACCTTCCTAACCAGCAATCACCTTCTCCCCTGGTCCCTGAGAGCTCAAATCCCAAGAACTCAAGCTTCAATACAGCCATTTCCCCGTTTAACACTGGCTCTCGGGCCAACCAAAGACCACCTTTCTCAACAGCCACTTTAATCCTGCACCCATTCTACCCTGAGAGAGATAGCAGGAACAGAGGTTACTGTCTGAGTACATATCCCATTTTCATTGTCCAACCTTTCCCGGACTGACCAGCAGATCCTGAGTGACAGATGAATGATTACTCTAACACACGTTTCTGTGAAAGAGAGGACTAAGGGACTGCCTGGTTAAAGGAACCAGGCAGCCCCGTTCACCTACCTCCTTAGGCTTTTATTGTAGTAACAGCTTGAACTAAAATTAACCTCTAGATACTATTAGCAGGGTAAGTATCCTTGAGGAAACACATGTATCTCTCGTGGCTTTAAAACAAGGACATTTTGAGGTCTAAACATAAAGATTCCAGTAAAACACCCAGGGACTCAGAAAAGTCAAGGCAGGGTCTGCTGCCTTTGGCAAGAATCCCCTAAGAGCAAGCATGTCAAACTCAAAGGCTAACATGGGCCAAATAAACAAGGTTTAAGTTTATGTGGACCACAAAAAAACAAAAGCTTCAATTTTCATAGAAATGTAGATTTATTGCAACAGAGACCTGCTGAATCCAAAGGGATGAAATAAATGTGTAATCATTAACATAAAATAATAGAACATTTTAATAAAAATTAATATTTTTTCTTGAACAAAACTTATGAGACACTGAATAACCCCACAAATCAATAAGCATAACGCATGTAAGGGAACTGAATGCAACATGGTTATAGTATACTAGAGGCCCAATGCATGAATTTCGGTGGGGTTCCCTCAACCCAGCCTGCCCCTCTCACAGTCCGGGAGCCCTCAGTGGATGTCCTACTGATGGCCACAGTCTGGCAGCAGAGGCTCAGAGCAGGCGTCCCGTGTGTGTGTGTGTGTGTGTGTGTGTGTGTGTGTGTGTGTATGTGTCCGCTGGGGGCCTGCCCCCAGCCACATTGGAGGCTCAGAGCAGGCGCTGTGTGCGTGTGTGAGTGTGTATGTCTGCTGGGGGCCTGTCCCCAGCCACACCGTGGATGCTTGGAGCAGGCACCCCTCTGTGTTGATCTCTCAGGCTCCTGGCCTCTACTGCGTGTTTTTCTCTCCCTTGAGCTGTGGCCAGGGTGGGGTTCTGCCTGCAGGCCATGCTTTCCTGCTCATGGATCACCGGATCACTGCAGAGACTGGGGGAAGGCCCTGCTGGGTGCTGCCTGCAGGAAACTTTCCTGCTCTGGGATCACCATGGCGATCCCCAGGAGCAGGCCCACCTGGGGGCCGGCCGCCCTCCGCACTTGCCTGCTCTGGGATCACCATGGGGTCCCAGCTGGCAGCGGGGCTTAGGCGGCACACAGGGGTCCTGGCTAGGGGAGGGGCTTAGGCGGCACATGGGGGTCCTGACTGGGGGTAGGGCTTAGGCGCATGGGGCTTAGGCGGCACACAGGGGTCCCAGCTGGGGCGGGGCTTAGATGATGCGATCGCACCACCTAAGCCCGGCCATCCAGGGCCGCACACAGGGCCCAGATGGCGTCTGGCGCTGGCCAGCCCTGCCTGCAGTATGCAAATTAGCCGCCATCTTTGATGGCGGTTAATTTGCATATGGCACTGATCTGCCAATGGGAAGTGTAGCGAAGGTATGGTCAATTACCCTTTTTGTCTTTTATTAGATAGGATATTCATTAATGAATGTTGTAGTTCATCTAATCTAATAATAGACAAATGTGATAATTGACCGTACCTTCGCTACGCTTCCCATTGGCTAATCAGGGCGATATGCAAATTAAGTGCCAACTAAGATGGTAGTTAACTGCCAACAAAGATGGTGGCTAATTTGCATACTGCAGGCAGGGTAGGACAGCGCAAGCCGCCATCCAGGCCCCCATGTGCGACCTGGGGGCAGGGGCTCAGGCAAAGCGATCGCTGATTGCCTAGCTGGAGCCTTCGCCCACCCACCGGAGACATGTCCCAAAGCGACTTGGGGGCGGGCAGGGGCTGGGGCGAAGGCAAGCAGTGCCGATCGCCTCAATGGAGCCCTCGCCTGCCCACCAGAGACACGTCCCAATGCAATCTGGGGGTGGGCAGGGGCTGGGGCGAAGGAAACGATGCGGATCGCCTTGCCCGAGCCCTCGCCCGCCCACCAGAGACACGTCCCAATGTGCGGGGACTGGGGCAAAGGCAAGCGGTGCCCGTCACCTCAACTGAGCCCTCGCCTGCCCACTGGAGACACGAGGCCCACTCTGAGAGAGAGAGAGAGAGAAAGAGAGAGAGAGAGAGAGAGAGAGAGAGAGAGAAAGAGAAAGAGAGAAGTGGAATTTGGCATCCTACATCCCTCCCTGATCGACCATTGTGATTCTAAGCCAGCGAGGGCTGCCTTCAGGCCGCAGCTCCAGGTCCCTCACCCCCACCCCAGGCCTGAGAGCATAGTGCTGGGCAGGGGCACCCAGGGGTTCGGGAATGCAGCACGAGGGGCTGGAGCAATGTGGGGGGGGGCTGTATTTACACCACCAAGTTCCCCACTTCTGCCCTGGCCCACGCATGCCTCCTCCTTCCCCTCAGAGGCCCAGCTCCTGCCTACATGTTTGCTGGGCAGGCCCAACTGAACCGGGGAGTGAGCCATAGTGATCAGGATGGCCACTTCCTGGGATGGGACGGCCAGACCACAGCGATTCATGAGGGCAATGAGGCCCATGGGGCATGCACAGCCCTCAGGTGGCGGGGCTGGCTGGCCAAGCCAAGTCTGGCTTCAGTGGGGCCAGTGGGAGCCCGTTGAGGCCACCCCAACCCCCACAGGTCCTGGGTGGATGGTGGCTCAGTGGAGAGCAGTGTCTCCATGCATGGTGCCCAGGGGTGGCTGTGAGCTGCTGCAACCCTGCCCCATGCTTCAGGGAGGGGGAGAAGGCTTGCAGCCACCAGCACCCTAGGCTGCACCACCTGTGCCTCAGCTTGCCAGGTTGGCAGGGTCCAGAGCAAGTGATCTGCTCCCTTCCCCCAGTGGTAGAACAGGGAGGAGAGCGCTGGGTGCAGAGAGGGGACCTCAGCTGGGATCCTCCTGGTGTGGAGAAGGGGCCCAGCCTGGGCCTGGTGGGGAGCTTAGAAAGTCTGGCTAAGCAGGCGCTGGTTCATACCAACTCTTACTCTGCCATCTTCCTCCAGCTCTTCAAGGTAGCCCCTCTGCCCCACCTGTCCAGGCAAACAGGCTCTGGGTGACCTCCCTGAACTCAGACTGTAGACCCAGAGACCTCAAGGAAGAGTGCAGGGGCCTGTGCAGAAGTACCAGGGCAGAGTTGCTTCGGTGTCTCGGTGAAGTTTGCAACTGACCCAAGGAGGAAACCCGAGAGGGGAAAGGCCGGGAGGCATGAATTGCCAGCACTTTAGCCACTTGAAAACAGCTCCACTT